TGTGAAATTCATGGCCCCAGGGTCAGGGGTTCTTGTGAAAGGGGGGGTGGCTCTACTGATTATATAGTGAAAATTCATAATTTCTTTCAAAATATTTTTTCTACTCCTGGTTATAAAGCAAAGAAACAAGTGTATAGTTATGATGAACAAGGATGCTTTTACAAAATTTTTAGGTCACCTGAGTCACTCAGGTGACCTATTGCTATCTCTTTTCGTCCGTCGTCATCCGTCGTTCGTAAACTTTTGAACATTTTCAGCTTCTTCTCTGGAACCAGTGAACCAATTTCAACCAATTTTGGCATATAGCATCTATGGGTGAAGAAGAACAAAAATTGTGAAATTCGTGGCCCCTGGCCCCCTGGGGCCTGAGGGGTGGGGCCAAAACCATCAAAATTAATGCAATCTTTAAAAATCTTCTTCTTTACTCCTGGACATCAAGCAGTCAAACTGTTGGCATGATTGTAATAAGCATTGAGCCCTCTACCAAAATTATGAAATTCATGGCCCCAGGGTCAGGGGTTCTGGTGCTAGGGCGGGGCTATATAGATCATATAGTGAAAGTGCATTATTTCTTTGAAAATCTTCTTCTCTACTCCTGGGTATTATTGAAACAAATTGAATACATAGTTATGATGAGCAAGAGTGACTCTACCAAAATTGTGAAATTCATGGCCCCTGGGTCAGGTGTTCTGGTGTTAGGGCGGGGCTATATAGAACATATAGTGAAAGTGCATTATTTCTTTGAAAATCTTCTTCTCTACTCCTGGGTATTATTGAAACAAATTGAGTACATAGTTATGATAAGCAAGAGTGACTCTACCAAAATTGTGAAATTCATGGCCCCAGGGTCAGGGGTTCTGGTGTTAGGGCGGGGCTATATAGATCATATAGTGAAAGTGCATTATTTCTTTGAAAATCTTCTTCTCTACTCCTGGGTATTATTGAAACAAATTGAATACATAGTTATGATGAGCAAGAGTGACTCTACCAAAATTGTGAAATTCATGGCCCCTGGGTCAGGGGTTCTGGTGCTAGGGCGGGGCTCTTTTGATTATATAATGAAAATGCATTATTTCTTTGAAAATCTTCTTCTCTACTCCTGGGTATTATTGAAACAAATTGAATACATAGTTATGATGAGCAAGAGTGACTCTACCAAAATTGTGAAAACAATTTTTTTACCATATATTTTTTTAAAATTGATTTTTATTACTTAAAAAAAAAGAGGGAGATAACTCTTCAACAAAGGTCAAGTCATAAATTAGGACACTTCCATTCTTTACTGCTAATAGTAATAAATGTAGATTATGTCTAAATATTCTGAGTATTCCACCCGTACACATCTGTTATGTACATTCAAGTTCATTGAATCTGAGGCTATTAGGGATGGAATACGAGTACCTTAAATGTTCATCAAAGACCAAGAGTCTTACTCAGGCCAATGTAAGAGATTTCCACAAGGAATTAAAAGAGTACAGAAGCACTGATAGTTTCTTAATATACTGTCTGGTGAGAGTGATAAATGGGGAACAGATTAGAACCCAATTTATGAACTTTTAATGAATACTAGACTAATTATTTTGTTAATCCTGATCACCCTATTTTTCTTGCTTTTGGGCAACAAAGCTTCACCTTTCAGTTCATTTTATACTCTATGGATCCTCTAAATTGTTGTATTATACTCAGGTGACCGTTAAGGCCCTTGGGCCTCTTGTTAAGATAATTATAGCTCTTGGAATGACAAAATCCGTTTAAATGTATCTAGTAGTCATTGTATTTTAGTGTACATAATTAGATTTCCATCTTCATTTAATAAACCACTGTCGTAAATAACATCACTACAAGTCATATTGGAATGTAAGGCCTATAATCATCACCAAAGCATATCTATTCTATACAGAAGATATACGCGATGTCCATATAATATGTCCATTCTAAGCCCTTTTGAAATTATGGTTCATTAGACAACGCAATGTCATGTGAATGCATGTAATTAATGGACTGATAAATGTCGTAAATTAGGGATTTTAAGCAACTGTAATTCCGTCATTAGAGCTTTCTGCTTGCAAAAACAAAGAAACAAACAAACAAACAAAACAAATTTGATACTAGTTAGTATTTCGGGAATAGAGAATCGGACACCGTGTGATTTGGAATGGATGTCCTTTCATACCAAATGCTATATCGATTTGTTTATGTTGATCCGATAATTTTGGATGACTATTTTAAATATTGTTTTTATTTATTACCAAATCTTCATTTATATTTCGAGACCACATCCTGGCCTCGGGAACAATGTTTTGAATAAAATCAAAAAATTTCAATGATTAAAAATAGGTAGCAATTGTTCCTTCGCCAAGCGATCGGCACTTTGAAGTGAAAGTTGCGGGTCCTTCGGATAAGCCCTTAAAAACGAGGCCCCGTGTCACGGTAGGCGTTGGCACGATAATTAAAGAACCCTCACTGCTAAATGGCCCTGAGTGCCGAGTAAAGATCTAAATTTGAAGCCCTTTACCGATATATGGTAACGTTTCTATATAAGTGAAAAATGCTCGAACGGGACGTAAAACAACAGTCATACAATCAATCAATGTAAGAACTGCAAGTTTAAATTATTATTAGAATATGTAGGTAATGAAATTCAAAATTTACCGTTTTTATGTATTTTTTCTATCCTCGTGTGCTATGCTGTTGTAACATTCTGACATCCTTACTGCACTAGAATGTCTGCATATTGATATGATAGGTCCCAAGAAGATTGTTAGTATACTGGTTGGTTAAGTTCTTTAAAAAGGCCTACATGGGTGTGCGAGTGCCCTAATTACCTTTGATTAAGAAGGACTTGACTCTTATTTGGAAGAAATTTAGATATTCATCACCCAAAGGATGCTTTATTTTGTAACAGATTCGGTTGGTCTCCTTGTTCCTTAAAGGGGTATAGACACACTTGCATTGCCGGTTATTTTAATTAGAATTTTTCTGCTTTTTTTTTTAAATAACTCATTTTCTGAACTTACATGAAAAGATATATATGTAATGACATCGGTATTTCTTATAACCTTACACCAAACACGTGTTTGTAAACATGGTCTCTAGCTCTGTTATTGTTTATATTTTATCAGGTGGGTTTGATTTGATAGCACTGCAAACATCACTGAATACGAACTGAGAATTGTGTTGGTTTTGCTTTCTTACATTTCTATTCTGCCTCTTCTTGATTATTATAGTTTTTCATTTATTTTATCAATACACCATAGATTTCCCACCTTTTTTAATATTAAGGATAAATTTCAATACGTGAAAGTGCGAGGATGCATGAGTCAAACATTACCCGACAGACAGGCTTTTTTTTTTTTTTTTTATAAAACTTCAGTCTGAAACGCTGTCACAGCATGAAAGTTATGAAACTCTTCCGAGAATTTATTTTGAAGTTGTAAACAAAAATTTGGAAGAAATTAAATAGCAATAGTGCATCAGAAACAGATATAAGAAACATGAAATAATGTTAGAAATTTGTTTTAATAGGTTTCTTATGGTAATGATGTCATCTTAATAATACAGCTAGTTAACTGAAATTCGAGGAGTTTTCAAATACTTTTTTGGCGTATTCATAATATATGTAAACTCAGTCTTCATACTCATTCTGAAGCAGAATAGTAAAGCAGCAGCACTTTAGAAAAAATGAGTAACCTCCCCCCTTCTTCCATCTCCTCTAGGAATCAATTTCATTCTTCAATAAGTTCATATTACAGTACACAATATTTTTTTTTTATTATTAACGTATTCCAATGTAGAAGATAGAAAATCTATATGCTTGAAACAACTGAAAAGAAAGACTAAAAAGGAAACCATATTGTTATACATATCCAATAAAGCTGGTATTGAAAATAAGATGACATTCCCCGTGAACCATTATACAAGTTAAGTTTTTGTCATGAACAATATACCTTTTCAGAATATTGATTTATATACATATTCTCGAAATAAGACTCTAACCCTTAATAACATCATGTGTATGCTGGTGTAATTGATAATAAACTGAATACAACAATGCTCTGTTGTCATAAAAATGATTGATTTATACAAGAAATTTACAATGTTCCTTTTTTTTTAATGAAGAGCTTCATTCTGCCTCCTACCATTATAGATACAGGTGAAATAAAGGTTAAAAGACAAAATCTATTTTTCTACCTACGCGGGCTTAAAGGATGTCAAGGTGACATTTATTGTATTAAAATGTCGTGAGTTAACATTTGAACATTTTCAACTGCTCTGGAACCGCTAAACCAATTTCAATTAATATTGGCCTAGAGCATCTATAGATAAAGGGGAACAAAAATTATGAATGTCATGTTCCCCGGGGGGGGGGGGGGGGGGGCTAAAACCACCAAAATTGGTTGATCCTTATCATGTTTCTCTTGCGTTTGGGCAATCAAGCTTCATTTATCGGTATACTTTATACGCTGTGGATTCTCTAAATTGTTGTGTTACACTCAGATGACCGCTATGGACCCAGCCACCGCGGCGATGTAAAATTACTTAAAGATAGCGCATATAATTTTTCGCAGTAATTTCATAAATTCAGCTCATATAATTTTTCACAGTAATTTCATAAATTCAGCTCATAAATTTTTTCGCAGTAATTCCATAAAATCAGCTTATTTTCCCCATCAAAATGATTCCTTAAAACAAAAATTAACACAGTAGAAAGAAATAGTTAAAACATTTCCGCAAAGTAACAAAAATTGAAAATGGTACAATAACATAAAAATTCTCCAAAAAAAAAAAGAAGAGGATAGTTTTAAAGTACCAAGGAAAGAGCTGTCAGAAGGGAAAATGTTACCCCAACTCAATTCAAACTTGTTACATTATAATGCAAGCAGTCACGGGAAATACGTATACATTATCTATAACGAGTGACTAGGACACACTTGTTCTTTTCTTGAATAATTATAATGTATAGATGCCTTGTAGTAAAGTAAATAGAAATATTTACTTACCTTATTCTGAGAGTAAACATGATTAATGTTACAGGACATCAGCCTCAGATGCATGTGCACGAGGATCTGCGCAAGCATGGCCTGCACTGAGTTCACTATCCAACAATTCTTGTCAATGAACAGGTACATGTAGGTTAATGAAGCACATATGTTTACTACACGGTTACATTGCATAAGACTATTTCATCTGCCCTCTGCTTACTTGTTCGCTACTTCAACACAGCGTAAATCGAAACTAACCCAAGTGCGTTCATAAAATGATGACATACTGTATCAAAGAACAATGTATTATCAACCAGCATCAATATAAATGGTATAATTAAGCCGTTTCATTCCCTTCAATGGAATATTTGTAAGGAATTCTTGGGGTTTATTATATTTGACTGATGCCCTATTTCACATTTAAAGAGTTTTATCTCGGAGTATTGATTATTTACAATACGTAGTACATGCATAAGTTGCAAGTTAAGACGAAAGTTTCGTCTCCTTAAGGAACTGTTAGTGAAAACCATGGTAATGAGAGATTTCTTTTAAAGATTTAGGCTCGTATAAAGAGCCGCGAAGAACAATTAGATGTTAATGTTTTCCATAAATAACAGGCCCGTAGGACGCAATTTCAGTTGGGGGGGGGGCACTATCAACTACCACACTTCCTTGACAATCAAGAAAAAAGGTCATCAGCCGTTTTTATTGCGGGGGCGCAAGCATATAGTTGCTAAATTTTCAATAGTATTCTATATATCGGTTCCTACGGCAATGAATAATTCCCATGCAAAAGTCATTTAAAAATGTTTGTGCCCAAACTTAACATAGTTTGTTAATTAATCGATGAACTTAATTCTGGTCATTGAAAATGTTTGTTTTGTTTTTAACGCCCCTCTCGAGAATTTTTCACTCATATGGATGATGCCACCACTTGCCGGTGGAGAGCTGCAAATTTTTTTTTTACCTAAACTCGGCACTCAGGGCCATTGACTGTGAGGGATCTTTTTCGTGCAAGTACCTACTGCGACACGGGACCTCGGTTTATACGGTCTCATCCGAAGGACCGGTTTCCACGTCCCACAGTGGGATTCGTCATTGAAAATGAATTTGATTTATCGTAGCTATAATGGATTCTAAAACTTCATAAAAACCTTATACAAACATTGCAGGGTCTCGTAAATGTTTAATGAAGCCCTCACCAAAATATTCACTGTTGTCAAGAAGAGACCGAAGACTTCTGCTACAACATATTCACGAAGTGCGGTAAATCAAACGTGGATTCTCAAAAACTCCGAAGAACTTTTAAGAAATTTCAAACCACAAAACTTCAAAAATTAAACGCTTCAAAACATGTTGATTTTCTATGGTTTTTTTTTTTTTTCAATTATTCCTCCCGATAAATCAAAGAGCGGGCTTTTTAACATAAAAGACAAATGAATAATCATCTAGAAAATTACTTTGTTAAAATCGTTCCGAATCTATACACAAGTACTCTGCACTTAATATTAAAAGCTTACTGACAATATATTATGAAATCTTTGGAAACCAGGTGGTTAGGAATTTACTGGGTTCTGCTCCTTTATTAGCTTACCTGTTTCGACCTCTACTGGTCAGAGACCGTCTGTCTGTCCGTCTGTAAACTTTTTTTTTTTCAAAACGCCACTCCATCTACAACATCTTAAATATAATTTGGAGTACAAGTAGACTACAGATGCATAATTCAGAAGATCGGTTTTTGATTTCAAATGATAGATGTTGCCATGGTTACTAAAAATAGAATTTTCTGTAAAATACTTTTACATACTTATTCCTCTTACAGTTTTGATTTCGATGAAAGGTGTTGTCATAGTTACTAAAAGTAAAAATTTCTTTTGAAATACATGCAAATCCCTTCTCCTCCTACAGTTTTGGTCTGATTTCATTAAGACTTGGCACACAAATACACTACTTGTTTCTGTCGTTTTTTGATTTCAATGTACAGTGTTGCCATTGTTACTGAAGATAGACATTTTGTGAAATACATTCAAATCTCTTCTCCTCCTACAGTTTTGGTCTGATTTCAATATAACTTCACACACACATTTATAAAAGTGATCTACACTGAGATACGTATTAAGTTTCTCTCAACTGGTTTTGATTTCGATGAACGGTGCTGCCATGGTTACTAAAAATAGAAATTCTGCAAAATATTTTCAAAAGGCTACTCCTACAGATTTGTTCTGATGTTTACTCCTCCTAGGAACTTAATCTCTGGAATTTTCAGGGGCCCGTGTTTATGCCCTCTTCACATAATTGTATTGTTTGGAATTTTTATGATATTGGTCACTCACCTTTCACCAAATTATCTAGATCTTCAGCCGTTTTCATTCAATATAATTTGGCACACAAGTAGAGTACATGATGACACATAATTCTGTGTATCGGTTTTTGATTTCAGTGAAGTGTTCCCATGGCTACTAAAGATAAATTTCTTTGAAGTACTTTCTCCTCCTACAGATTTAGCTTAATTTCTATAACTTTGCACACAAGTATATAAAAGTAAACTGCACTAAATGCATATTTCTGTGTAAAACAAAGACTACATAAATGTTGTCAATGAGGAACTCCAGCATCCTTTTAATTGCAACTTCAGAGTACTTGTGTGTACAATCAGAGTGATTTTTAACGAAGTAATTTTGCTGATGACCAATCACAACATATGAAAATTTCCGAGTTCCGTTTTTATTTAAGAAGCAGTTGTCTATGATATCAAAAAGTCTAGATTTTAACTTATCGCGAGGAATTGGTGTATAAAGTGTAGAAAAATCAGAAGTTTTAATGTTATAGACTTTTGAAAAATTTGGTGATATTAAATGTCTAATATTATATAGTTCTTTCGAGTTTACATCTGATTTACACCACTTCTAGAATGTGCTGTAGCACAGTACGTCTTCAGTTTCTCCTTTTACAGCAGTAAATATTTTTATAAGGAGTAAAGATAAGGGCAGGGTAGATCATTTGCTGAGCCCAGCAATATATCGTTGTTTGTAAGGATAATCTAATAGCTAACGATGGTGTTTATAGCCCGCTAAACAATGATATTGACTTTCCATCAAGTAGTACGGGTCATAAGATTTAAGTTTATTCATAAACTTGCATAAAATTCTAGCTGCCCCTTATAAGGCGCCATTTTTATATTTTTGAGGAGGGTTTTTTGATATCAAAAAAAGAATTCGTGATATCAATAATTCGAATTCTTGATTCAAAAAATAATTCTTGATATCAAGAATTTGATTTCCTGATATCAAAAATATTTTCTGATATCAATAAAATCGAATTTTTGATATTAGAAAAATAAGATTTTTTGATATCAGGAAATCACATTTTTGATATCAGAAATTAATGTAGATTTTCTGATATCAGAAAATCGAATTCTTGATATCAAAAAATTATTTTCTAATATCAGAAAATCGATTTTTTGGTATCAGAAAATGAATTTCTGATATCAAAAAAATGCTTTCGAATTTTTTATATCAAAAAATCGATTTTCCGGTATCAAAAAAGTGTGAAATAAATAGAACTTGCATTAAAGAATGTTCCCTTAATTTTTCCTTAGCAATGGTTAGTTTGCTTGTATTAGTGTCATCCTGAATACCGATCCCGCTTCAATTAAGGAATAACTGTCTAATTTTTTGGATTCATGATGTGATCAATCGATTGGCTTGCGTAATAATTTGCATAAACGCCGAAGGCGCAAAAAATCTGACAGTTATTCCTTATGTTTACATGCTCCTGATTCTGCAAATTCCCATGCTAATAGCCCCGGGTCTGTCTCTATTTGTCCCGCCCTGCACGTGATTTTTTTAAACCGCGCCTATCGATGAACCAGTAGATTTATGTAGAAAATAAAGTATTTTTACAATTTGTGATTTTATCTCGGACAAAGACATCGGAAATGTAAATATTACTGTATGTTCTGTTTACTGTGAGTGTTATCACTTCATAGTTTTTGTCTAGCATAAAGCCTTGTTTTTTTTTTTTTTAATTTGTATAGATTAATGCAGAGATATAATTGAAAATACATGTATAGAAATTGATATATGTATATACAATGCTGATTAGTTACTAAAATGTCCGAATTCCAAATAAGTCTTGAAGTCCCTCGAGTTGCAATGGGAAGAGATTCCTAGAAATTAATTTTAATAGTAATTAATATACAATTAATTACACTTTACGAGGTCAACGTGGTGAAATAAAGACCCTCGACCTAGCCCACGAGGTGACCTGACCTGACCGAGGCCGCGTAGCGGCCTCGGTCAAGTCAGGTCAGCGAGTGGGCCAGGTCGAGGGTCCTTATTTCACCATGTTGACCTCATAAGGGGTAATCAATTGTTTTATTATACCGATATAAGTCAAAACAATTTTTGTAGGCTTAATTGCTTAAATAATCAATTGTGTATTAGACCTACGAACTGTTATTATCAGTGTTTCATCGGAATCGGGATTCGCTAGTGAAGTTGTTTACTTTTCGTCTGCAAGTCTTGTAAGTTTTTGCACCGCCGATTTATTAAAACACTCTGTGATTGTCAGTAACATGCATTTTTATAAATTCACAAATACCATTTCCGAGTACAATGACAATCTGGTGCAGACTTTTACTGTACAAAAGAGCCAAGTCTGCATTCGTTGAATTTGACATTGTAACGAAAGTTTCAATGAAAACGATAAATTTTTTGACGTATCTAAAGGACAATCGTATTCCGTATCATAAAAAGACTATACATATTTTTGTAACGGCATTTTTTGTAATGAACAGCCATTACTGTATGCATTAATTTTTAAATTTGAATGGCATTTAGATTAACAGGTGATTTTTAGCGGTCATTATTTATAATGACCGGGTCATTATTCCCCACGTGCAATGATTCCTAGGTCATTATTGTTGTATATGGTACTTTTTGGAGTCATTATTGAGTTTATAAGCCTTCTAACAAGCCAATCAAATTTAAGTATTCTTGATAGAGGTATAATAACACTAATTATGCATTCAGTAAGTTCTCTTTGCATCATAAACACCGAAACTTGTAACCCTCATTTTGTAACATATACAAGTTCGCCTTTCCACTCATTCTTTAGAGAATAGTACAAAACCTAAACACAGTGAACCCATACTACTGTAAAGCAATCTTGGGAAGAATTGATTTTCCGTATGAGCCTCTACACTAATATTTGTTGAATTTCTGATATCAAAAAATTGATTTTGTGATATCAAAAAATAAAGTTGAATT